CAGTGTGGAGATTCCTCAAAAGACTAGGAATAGACTTACCATATGACCCAGGAATCCCACTCCTGGGCTTGTACCCAGAAGGAAATCTACTTCAGGATGACACCTGCACCCCAATGTTCATAGCAGCGCTATTTACAATAGCCAAGACATAGAGACAGCCTAAATGTCCATCAATGGAAGACTGAATAAAGAAGATGTGGTATATTTATACAATGGAATACTACTCAGCCATAAAAACCGACAATATAACACCATTTGCAGCAACATGGGTGCTCCTGGAGTATATCATTCTAAGTGAAGTAAGCCAGAAAGAGAAAGAAAAATACCATATGAGATCGCTCATATGTGGAATCAAAAAAAAACAAAAACAAAGCATAAATACAAAACAGAAACAGACTCATAGACAAAGAATACAAACTTGCGGTTGCCAAGGGGGTGGGGGGTGGGAAGGGATAGATGGGATTTCAAAATTGTAGAATAGATAAACAAGATTATACTGTATAGCACAGGGAAATATATACAAGATCTTATGGTAGCTCACAGAGGGAAAAATGTGACAATTAATATATATATTTTCATGTATAATGGAAAAATTGTGCTCTACACTGGAACTTGACACATTGTAAAGTGATTATAAATCAATAAAAAATGTTAAAAAAAAATAAAGGTTCTGAGTGTGAAAAAAAAAGTTTTGTGACTCCCTATCGTGTCCTGAATATTGATGGTCCTGGTCTGTAGGCTTTTTTCGGTTTTTGGTCTTTACTTTTTTTTTCCCTAATAGTGATGCTGACGGCATTGCCTTCCAACATCTGACTTGGCTTTTAGTAAGGACTACGTAGAAGTTTTCCCCGCCTGACTACCTGCTCCTGTTCTCAGCATTGAAGCCTAAAGACAGAATCAAACAGAATAAGAGCAGCACTTCTTTCTTAGGGAGGACGTTTGCACTTCTGAAGAGAGCACGCTGGGCGTACTCAGTTCCCAGTTCCTTGCTCAGCCCGGGCCGTTTCCTCTGGACACCGCCTCACACGTACATCAATGAAATCGTGAAAAGTAATATTAGAGCAAACTAAACATCCTACAGTAGTATTGACTTAAAGAGGACTAACATAACAATCATAGCATAGACTTTTACTGCAGGATTGTTTTCTGAAGAATTTTGTTAATAAAAATAGTGTCATTGATTGTTATGAACTGCTTCCCCGCCCCACCCCGCTCCCCAAATTGAATCCCTAACCTCCAGTGTGAATGTATTTGGAGACAGGAACTTTAAAGTGTTATTAAGGCTAAATGATGTCATAAGTATGGGACCCTAATACAACAGGACTGCTGTCCTTCTAGAAAGAGGAAGAGAGACTAGGGGTGCACACACATAGAGGACATAGTGAGAGGGTGGCCACCTGCGAGTGAACAGGAAAGGCCTCAGGAGAAACCAAACTTGCTGACACCTTGATCTTGGACTTTCAGCCTCTAGAGCTGTGAGAAAATACATTTCTGTTGTCTAAGCCACACAACGAGTGGGATTTCCTCCTGGCAGCCCCAGCAAACGAATGCACTGATTGAATTTCCCCCTTGTTGTGAGTTCTGAGAAACTCAGAGCCAAACATGAAGTTTTCATAGCAACTAACTGCTGTTTCTCAGAGTTCACATATTTTGAGTCTTTCTCTTGTGACACAGACTTTTCTCCATTTCCATGTTATCTGCTTATTTATTATTTGCTTTCATTGTTTGCTGCCTCAAAGCCTTTGTAGGAAAGAACCAGGGTACAAAGAAACAAACAACAACTGTTTTATAGGCTTGCCTTCGCACCTTCTCAGCCTTCTCTGCTGGTTCCTTTCCATTTCTTGGACCCTTTAATGTTGGGGTGGCGCAGGGCTCACCCCTTCATGATCTCCATCATTCTCATGGCTTTAAGCACCAGCTATATATACATTTAGCCTCAACTTTCCCCCTGAACTCCTCACACAAATATCCAACTGTCTATGCAACATTTTTATCTGGGTGTCAAATGGGCATCGGTTTCATGTGTCCAAAGCCAGCCAAATTCCAGATTCTTCCCTCCCCATCCTGTAGTCTTGATAAATGCTGCCCTAGACCTCTTCACCTTAGTGAACACCAACCCGTTCCTCAGTTGCATAGGGCCAAACCTTAAGTCATCCTGGACTTTCCTTCTTCTCATCCCCAATTCCCAATCTTTTACAGTTGGGTTGGCTCTCCCATCAAAAAACATCTCAAAGTTGACCATTTTTAACATCTTCCTCACCACCAAGGTGAAAGCCAGTGTCACCTCTCCCTTAGACAGTCGCCTCCCCCATGATCTTTCTGCTCCTCTGTTTCCCTCTGGCAGTCTAGTCCTACAGCAGGGAGAGCATCCTATTAAAGTGTAGGTCAAGTCAGGTTACTTCTCTGCCCAAAACTTCAGGAGTTCTCCACCTCTTCCAGATTAAAAGGCAGTCCTAATAAGGATCTATGAGGTGCCACAAAGGCTGTCTTTGTTTACCTCTCTGATCTCAAGTATTTCTCCCTGGCTGACTTGGTTAGAGCCACACTGGCCTGCACTTGCTGCTGCTGCTGCTTCTCCACGGTATCTTCAAAGCTCATTCTCATCTCCAAGTCTCCTTATCATTTTATTGATCAAATACCACTTTATTAGAGAGATCTACCCTGTGATGTGCTGGTAAGTGCCTAACAACTGGCTCTCTGAAGAAAAATGTGTGACTTACATATTTATATTATAACCCAATTTTAAGTTTCACTTGTGTTTTCTGAAGTTTAGGGTGACCATCAGCAACCATAAACCAAGCTCTGATTTGCTGCATTCATCAGATTTCCTGGTGTAAGTATTCCCACCATGGTCAATATCAAGCTGCTAAAATGGTGTCAGTGAAGGTGGAGTTGGGGCAGACGTGCAGCAGTAGCCAGCGTCACACAGCACCCCTGCCACACAAAAGCAGCAGACGTGGACAGCCTCATGGCATGAATGATAGTGAAAGCAGGGAAGCAGTTAGGAAGAGAGGAGTTTTAAATATTTATCACTTTTGCTTTTATAAAACTTATTTAATTTCAAATTGGTAGACTTTAATTTTCGTGATGACTGCACTTTGCCACTGGCTTGCAAAATTCCTGAAACTTAGTTGGTGCCCATGAACTTGCAAGAGAGGGACTGGCCGTAACATTGGTTATTTTTCCTTTCTCAAAATAATACATTTATTATGTATGGTTGGCAGATATTTTGCTGACAATATTTCAAAAAGATTTAAAAATAACAAAAGAATTTTATAACCATGCAATTCAGGGTACAGTTGGGCTCAGCGGACCACTTCATTTTTTACAGAGTGGGCAGAAACGTATGTCTCTAAACATTTTTTGAGGTAGTTGAATTTCATCTGTGAGTCCTGTTCCCAGTCTTGAAGCCTCAGGAGGTCAAGTTCACCAGCCAAGGGAGCGGGAATTTTCTCAGCCATAGGGATGAGGTTCTAGTTCAGACCAGAGGAGAGGGCTTCCTGGAAGGCACTGATAAAACCTTCTTTTTTTTTAACATTTTTTATTGATTCATAATC